TGCTATGAACAATTGCATACAAGTTTTTGTGTGCACATGTTTCATTTATCTTGGATTAGCTACCTAGAAGTGGCTTTGATAAATCATGGTAATTCTATGTCAGTGCCCTCATTTCTTCTCTTGCTCCTTCATTCATGCATATAATCTGGGGCAAACATCTATGAGTTCATTCAATTATACTGTGGGTCAGACACTCATATTTGTGGATGGAATAGTGACAGGCTGTGCCAAGGAAGTTTTCCTGGAGGAGGAAGATGGGGTAAGGAAAGGCCTGGTCTGCTCACCATACCCCCAAACCCTGTTACCCCCAGAACCACCTATATAATTTGCAGGGTCTAGTGCAAAATGAAAACCTGGCCCTCTTCTTAAAAAAATGATTAAGAATTTTAAGGCAGAAAGGTTCTAGGTCAATGGTCGGCAAACTCGTTAGTCAACAGAGCCAAATATCAGCAGTACAATAATTGAAATCTCTTTTGAGAGCCAAAAACTGACTTCTGCTCATGGGCCACGAAGTTTCAATTGCACTGCACCTGTGCACCCATATGTTGTATTTGGGGGGAGGGGCCAAAGAGCCGCATATGGCTCGAGAGCCACAGTTTGCCAGTCAGGGTTCTAGGTGATTCTACGTGAGTGGTCTGGAGTGGGGGGAAATTGATGGAAGCAAGACACCTATGTTCTACCAGGCTTCCAGAAGCCACCTGAAGTGGGGAGACCTGGCTGCCTGGGGTTTGCAATCCTGAGACACAGAACTTGGGTCTGGGGGGCTGGGAACTGAACTTAAATCTCAATTTGAGGTCTTTGGTTCTGCAAGACTCTAGATGTTCTGGAAAGCTATAAAAAGATTCTTGATGTTAGAAAGCTGTAAAAGTACTCCAAATACCACATAATATCCTTCTGATCATGAAGAGGTTACATAGCTAAGCTGATCACATTTAAAAGACACAGCTATTTAATCTGACAGAAATAGTTTAAAATCTTAAGCTTTGATATTTGAACTGATCTCAAAAATGATTTTGTTAAACTGATTATATTTAATAGAGCAGAAGCTGTTTAGTACCGTTCTGGAAATACTTTTTAAATGTTTATTCTTTGATATTTAATCTCAGTATCTCAAAAATGATTCCTTTTTGTCGGGTGCTTACGTTGAACAGAACGCAAGCTCTTTAACCTGCCTGAAGCTGTTAAACTCCCAGGGGGAAGCCACCCTCCCAGTGCAAAGGGTGGCCCTCCCACCCTGTACGCAAACCTGCGGTCACGTGATCACGCGACTCCGCAAGCCCTCCGGCGACGTTGTCCCGCGGCCGCCACGCGCAGACTCCGACTCGCCCCCCAGGGGGCGGGGCTTCCCGAGCGCTTGCGCAGTGAAAGGTTCGGGCGTCCGCCGCGCGGGGTTGAGGCGGCGCGGAGCGACCGCGCGGAGGCCGGAAGAATGCGGGCGAAGGGCGGGGCACGCAAGGGAAGCGAGGGAAACCCGCTTGCCCGTAGAACGACCGTCGCGGCCTGATGACGTCGCACAATGGCCGGCCCCCGCGGGTAGTGGAGCCCGTTTGTTCCGCTCGCGTCGCGCCTCAAGCCGGAGTCTGTAAGGAGCGGAAGGGCCGAGGGACGCTTTCCCCGCGCCGCCCCCTCCCCAGCGGAACCGTGGCCCCCTCCCTGTCCTCGCGCTGAGGTAGGTGCCGGGGCGGGTGGCCGGCGGGAAGGAGGCCGAGACCGTCAGGCAGGGATCGTGGTGGCGGTGCGGAGCCCAGGCCCAGGGAATCCGCCGCCTCCGCCTCCGGGCAGCGCTCCGAACTGCTCCCCCTACCCCCGCCCGAAGCGTGGCTCATGGACGCGGGGCAGAGGACGCTGAGACAGGCACGATCCCGCGTTCCGTCCGCGGCGAGCTGGCCCGGGGACACTGGAACCCCTCAGAGCCCGAGCTCCCCGCGGCTGCCTCCGCGCCCGGCGCTGGGGTTGGTTCTCCTAAACCTGTCATTTCTCTTCCGGGATATTCGAGTGACACATGTTTGTCGTCCACAAAGGTGGGGGGGGGGGGGGCGGCAGGAAGCACGTAGATTCTCCTTCCAGAGGCGGCTTTCCCGGACTGGGGTTGGGCTCTTTCTGAGCCTCCTGGAACTTGCCCCCAGCTTCACAGTGTGCACAGGTTGGAGGTATTGGCCGTGCCCGGAGTCGCACACCACTCTTAAGAATAACTAACTTCCTTGCCCCTTTGGTTTGGAGCTCCAAAAAAAATGCCCGTCCTTGGCATAAACTATAGCCACGATGCTGGAAGAACCTACTCTCAGGCTTGCTCCTGCTAAAACTTAAGTTTTCCTAAATACTCAATGACAGCTGAGTTTGCTGGGTAGAGTGGCTGATCATTTTAAATACCAACGAACTAAATTGCAAGAGTAGATCAGTTGTCGCATCTATTTGGGAAAAATTGAAGAAGGTGTTTGACGTGTGAAGTACTCTTCAGAGGCATAGCAAGCGCTCTCATCATTTCTCCCTTGCATACCCCTCGGAGTGGTCCTTGCCTAGAGCAGAGGTTGGGATTATGAGGGTGAGCCTGGATGCAGGCTGAGTCCCACTTCCAAGCCTGAGGAGGGATCCTTGCCTGATAATTTTACAGTCTGATATGTGTGGAGCCCAGTCAGCTCTGGTAACCAGTGTGTCCCTAAAGCTAGAACTCCTCTCTGGTTTGGGGTGGGAAATGCTCAAACTCTGTAAGAATGCTTTGTGGACTCACTCCAGAGAGCAAACAGGTAAGCTGTGGCTTTGTTCATGTTTAAAATGTTTTTGGTATGTGTGTGTGTGTGCGCGCGCTTTACTTTTTCAACAGCTATAGATCATTTCAAGGTGAGTGCTTCCTCCCTGAGTTTTTTTGGTGGTCAAACTTAGTTTGGGGGTGATGTCTTTCCACAACCTCGCCAGCCTTCCTTCAGATGTTGTATGTACATGACGTTATGAATCAGGATTTTAACCAGATGTATCAGAACTTATAGTCATTCAAATAGGGGCTTCTCGATTTAAAATTGTTAGCCTGAAAGGTTATGCTTGTAAGTCATTGGTGCTCCTTTGCCAAAACCTCCTGTTTTGGTAGTAAAATAGGTAAGCCGTATGAGGAAATATATCTTATTTAATAGTCATACCCCATATTTGACCCAAAATTGTCTTACCTTGGTAACTCACCTCACTTACTAGACCAGGTTCTGAATGTCTTCCTGCAGTTTCTCAAAGTGACCCACCTTGAGAGAAGGAAGATTTGCTGCCACTGAGAGCTCCAAGAGAGGGTTCTGCAGGTTCTAAAGGATATTCAAAAGAGAAGTTCCCAAAGTGTTTTTTGTCCGTGTCTCCCCCCCCCCCCCCCCCCCCAAAGTGTTCTGTCCTTTAGCAGTGCTGTTGGAATTGATGTGCAGCCTCCAGGGTGATTGCTGGGAAATGAGACAGCAGCTGCTATACTTGAGTTCTGGTATAGTCTTCTAAAAATTAGGCACTTATTTCAAATTTATTTCTGGTATGTAACAGGTAGTTGATGAAGTAAAGAGATTTTGTCATTTCTTCATTCAGCGAATATCACTCACCATCTGCCAAATGCAGTAGGCAGAGGAAACACAGTGATGAATACTTGTTACTGTTCTCTGGGCAAGTTCACCATTTTATGCATAAAAGGACAAAAGAATTCGCTCTAAACTTTACCAAGAATCCTCTATTACAGGATGCTTGTGTGAGAATAAACAGTAAAGTCTGTGTACCTGGCAGTTAGTGAAGACGTGACCAGAGGACCCTCCATTTCATTGTCTACACTTAACAGGCCACATGGTTTTCCTAGCACCTGCCAGAGAGCATGCACTTAGTTTTTTGCCAAATTGAATTAATCTCAAATTAATTTAGGACGCAGACGCCTAGAGAGAAGTTTAACCTGCCCAGAGCAGACAGTGGAACACAGCCATCTTCTGACCCCCAGTGACTCTCCTCTTCATTGCAGTAAGATTGACTTGGGTTGCTTCTAATAAATAATAGGGAGATAGATTCTTGGGCATATTTCTCTCTGCAAGATGTTCACCTGTGAGCAGCCTCAGATTATAAGCTCCCAGGTGATCACACAGGGCCTCCTAGGGTAACTAGATATCCCCATGTGCCTTGGACAGTCCATGTTCATGCTTGTTTTAATTGTTAACAGTGCCCCCTATCAGTCTCAAACATGTTCCAATTTAGACAGTAAATTACATGGGAGCTCTGCTACCAAGTGCCAGACGTTTGCTGAGCCCAGGGAATACAGAAGTGAGTGTGAGCCTTTCCACTGAGGCACTTCGTGGGGTACAGGAGGGCCTTCCAACAGGCTTTGCAAACACATAATCTCCGTATAGTATGGTAAGTATGAATACATAACAGAATAATGTACAATATATTTAGGGCAAGAGTTCTTAATCTGGGGGTCATGGGTGGACCTCAGGAGGTTTTGAATTCCCTAAAGTAGATGATAAATTGTGTTTGTCCAGATTTTTCTAGGGAGGGAAGCTGACCCTTCATTTTATTCTCAAAGTAAACCTTGCTCCCAAAGGCTAAGCACCACTGACATAAAGAGCACTGAGCTTTGCCTGATAGTAGCAGGTGCTCTCAGGACCTTTGGCTTCATCTCCCCTGTCTGTTCAGTGCTGAGAACTACCTTTTGAGAGTCGGGAAGTTATCTTTGCACCCTTAGAATATTGAAGTAATTTCCATAATTCAAACTGTGGAGGACATACCTATTTAGTTTAAGTATCTAAGATTCAAATTTCAGCCAAGTTTAAAAGTCATACAATGGTGTCATAGATTGGACCTCCATATGATCATCACTATTTTTTAAACTAGTAGTCTGGATCAATGTTAACTTTTACTTTTATATGAAAAGGTGTGTTTTGCTTCAATAAGGGCTAAGATAGGAGTATAGTTGGATCAGCACAAAACTGTAGAAGGGAGAAAAGAAAAGTAGGCAAAATCTACTGGTGCAGTAGAAGTCCACAGCTAATGGATGAGCTGTGTTCCAAAAAAGAATTTATAAAATCAGTTTGGAACTCAGCTCCCATTTTCCTATAGGAATAATAGCAGAAAATGGGGTTAGATCCCAGGCAGGGAGCTGAAGCTCATTTGCTGCAGAGTCTAGGGCTCTGGGACAGTACTTGCTTGAGGTGCAGCTCTAAGTTGCAGTCTGTGGATAACCATTCAGTGGCTATATAGCCTTGGTTTCCTTACCTATGAAGGGGACCATCACTTATTTGGAAGGTTGATGTGAGGAAATTGATCAAACTCCTGACACAGAGTAGTGATCTCTCAGTGGACAGTGGTAGCTGTTGAATTTTTGCAGAAGGCTTTTTTTAGTAATCTAGTCTTGCATTAAGTAGATAGGTTATTTGCTGCATGAAATAGTGAATGAATTATTACTGAGTGCAAGAGACCTGAACTGAACCTGACAGGAGTATTACTATTGGAAGTTGAGGGTTGCCTTTACTCACCTTCACATTCAGTTTAAATTAAAACATGCTGGGCAGTCCTGGCTGGATGACTCAGTTGGAGTGTTGTCCCATATACAAAAAGTTTGGGAGTTCAATTCCTGGTCTGATTGCATATTGGAGGCAACCAATCCAACCAATCGATGTTTCTCACATGAGTGTTTCTTTCTCTCTCTCCCTTCCTCTCTGGGGGGGAAAAAAAAAATCAATTAAAAACATATCCTTGGGTGAGGATTAAGAAGAAGAAAAATGTGCGAGGCACATTATCAGGCTCATGTCATCTAATTGTTCCAATGGTCTTGTATAGTAGATACCGTTATCCCCATATTTGAGATGAAGAAACAGATCTGTCGAGTTTACATAATTTTCCCCAAGATCGTTAAAGCTTGGAAGCAAATAGAGTTGGGGGTTCAAGTTCTGACTCAGAAGTGCACACTGGCCGAGACCGGTTTGGCTCAAAGGATAGAGCGTCGGCTTGGGGACTGAAGGGACCCGGGTTCGATTCCAGTCAAGGGCATGTACCTTGGTTGCGGGCATATCCCCAGTGGGGGGTGTGCAAGAGGCAGCTGATCGATGACTCTTTCTCATCGATGTTTCTAGCTTTCTATCTCTCTCCCTTCCTCTCTGTACAAAATCAATAAAATATATTAAAAAAAAAAAAAAAAAAAAAGAAGTGCACACTGTTTGCACTGGCCCATGTACCCCCACAAAGATACAGTGTACCAACAGATAAATGTTCCATGTTACTTGCTCACTTCTTAGATTATTTGAAGTTTGGCCCTCTCTCCCCCCCCACCCCATTTCTTATTCTAACGTAAAAAGCAATTTGGGTTGGATCTAATCAAACAATGAAACCAAAACAAACCAATTTGCACCTGGGCCCAGAAAGAGGGCTGTTATAGGTAATGAGAGTTTATGGCTATGAACAGATAGTATGTTGCAAGGTCGGAGGAAGTTTTTCAGACTCTTAGTTGTGTGATATTTTTTAAGAAACCAGTTTGAAATTACATTCAATTTTGGTTGATTAGGAGGTAGCTTTGTGTCAAGGTTGCCACTAGACTATAAAGTATGAAAATCAGGATTTGGTTTCAAGTAGTGATGTATATAGGTTCAGTAATCAGTTTCATATGACTGCCTGCCTACAAGGTACCAGGTGCTAGCTTAAGCAGCTGGGGAGATGCAAGTCCCTGCCCTTCTGTGAAGATTTCTTATATACAATGTAATAAAATGTGTACAGAGATAGGCATAGGGCAGTGGTCGGCAAACCGTAGCTCTAGAGCCACATGCGGCTCTTTGGCCCCTTGAGTGTGGCTCTTCCACAAAATACCATGCCCTCGGAGAGTCTACTTTGAAGAAGTGCCATTAGAAGAAGTTTAAGTTTAAAAAATTTGGCTCTCAAAAGAAATTTCTGTCATTGTACTGTTGATATTTGGCTCTGTTGACTAATGAGTTTGCCGACCACTGGCATAGGGTATTATGCACAAAGGAAAATCTTATGTATTTTATTATATAATTAACCAAGGGACCAGCTGCCTGTTTGCCAATGGCCCTTGGCTGATTGCTATAACTGCCCGCATTCTCTGTCTGGAACAGTTAAGAGTATAGGGGCCCTTAACAGCCAGCCCTGTCCTTAGTATCTTTCTCATCTTTGCTGATGCCCTGGACTATAGAAGTGGGCTATGTGCAATGACAGGCTCTGCCTGCACAAGGAGACCAGGAAGTCACAGGAGTGGTGTTTTTGTTTTTTTTTTTAAATATATATTTTATTGATTTTTTTTTTTACAGAGAGGAAGGGAGAGAGATAGAGAGCTAGAAATGTCGATGAGAGAGAAACATCAACCAGCTGCCTCTTACACACCCCCTACTGGGGATGTTCCTGCAACCAATGTACATGCCCTTGACCGGAATCGAACCTGGGACCTTTCAGTCCGCAGACAGACGCTCTACCACTGAGCCAAACCGGTTTTGGCAGTAGTCTTGAATTTTTATTTTCTGCAGACTGTATCATACAAGGACTAATTTTTAAATAATTTTTGCAAATGGAGTCATTTTCAAAACTATATATTTAAATGACTGAATGAATTGATTGGTTCATAAATTTCTCTTACTGCAAACCACTTTATTTATAAAGTGATGAATTATAAGTGATTTGTCCTAATGTGTGCTAAATTATAATGATTTACATTATCAGTCCAAAAGGGGGAAAAAGAGGGGCGTATCTGTAATACTCTCAACAATAGATTTTTTTTTAAAAAAGCAATAGAAGATTTTCTTGATAAATGCACACAAAAATAATAACCCCTAGAAAAACAACTGTAGGTATAGTTATGTCATTATATAAAATAATTACATATTTAATTATGTGTGTACTAGAGGCCCGGTGCATGAAGTTTGTGCACTTAGTGGGGGAGGTACCTCAGCCTGGCCTGTGCCCTCTCGCAGTCTGGGAGCCCTGGGGGGATGTCCAACTGATGACTTGAGCCTGAGCCATCAGTTGGACATCCTTAGTATTGCCATGGAGGCGGGAGAGGCTCCCAACACTGCTGCTGTGCTCACCAGCTGTGAGCCCGGCTTCTGGCTGAGCAGTGCTCTCCCTGTAGGAGTTGATTGACCACCAGGGAACAGCTCCTGCATTGAGTGTCTGCTCCCTGGTGGTCATCATGCATCATAGTGACCGGTCATTCCATAGTTTGGTAATTTGCATATTAGCCTTTTATTATGTAGGATGTTTCCAGATCTTGCTGAGATGTCAAGCAGCATGGCTGTGACATACATTTTTTTTTAAAATTGATTTCAGAGATGAAGGGAGGGGGAGAGAGAGAATCATTGATCTGCTGCCTCCTGCATGTCCCAGACATGTTCCCTGTCTGGGAATCAAACCATAATCTCCTGGTTCATAGGTTGACATGCTGGCTGGGCCATATATTATTTTAAATTAAAAATTTGAATAATCAAGTGACCATTTAACTTTTCACTATTACTAATATTTCAAACTAACTCAGTGGTGGTGACTTGCTACACCTTTCATTGGTGAATGGTGTTTGCTTATAGATTGTTTGGTTTTGGTGTCATGAACTCACAATCTTACTCCACCTTGTATAATCTGTGTTTAAAACAAATGGAACTGCCCGGCAGTATGGCTCAGCAGTTTAGCATCAATCCCAGGAACCAAGAAATTGCTGGTTTGCTTCCCAGTCAGGGCACTTGCCCAGGTTGTGGGCTTGATCACCATTAGGGGGTGTACAGGAGGCAGCTGATTGATGATGTTCTTCTCTCATCAATGTTTCTCTCCCTCTTCCTTCTCAATAAAAAAATGTTTTAACAAAAATGGAACAGTGTACTATCTTTGTACATTGAAGTGGTAAAAACCAGAAAATATTCACTTTGTAATTAAATTTAGATTAGTAAAATAGAAATGAAATCTAAAAATGACAAGTTGGTCTTTTTACAGAATCTGCAGTTGACCCTTGAACAACTTTAGGATCAGGAGTGCTGACCTCCTGAGCAGTCTAAAAGCAGTGATAACTACAGTCGACCCTTTATATGCCCAGACTCCCAACTGCAGAATTGACCCCTGAATAGTGTGGGTTTGAACTCCATGGGCCAATTAAAAACATATAATCAGACCCTTGCAGTTCAAAACCATGTTATTCAAGAGTCAACTGTACGTAAATATATAAAATGTTCTGCCAGAGTTCTTTTCCAAAACATAGTGGTCTTTACTTTCCTGTTTGAATCACAGGGTACATGAATGCCTTCTTCCGGGGCTTCCATTGGCAACTCCAACATATAGGTCTGGTGAGGCCCAAGATCATGCCAAGTGTATCTATCTGATAAGGAAATCAAGGCCATATTTAGAGACTTGCATTTAGGAACAGAAGACAGCATACAACCTGGGGACTCTTAAAGATAAGCTGGGTTTCTGTTCTAGAACCTTCAGGATGACTCCAAAAAAATGGTTAGATGCATGTCTTCAATTTTGCTGCCTTATTCCATAATTACATTTTCCTGAATTTCATCAGTACTCTAAGAATCCAAAAGGCTGTCTATCCCCTTGCAATGCATATCTTATCACTCATTTTCTATACTTTCTATTAACTGTTTGAGTTGCACTAATGAGAAGAGGTACACTAGGTGCTTTTCTGCCAGACTGATGCAGGTGTGAGATACTTAGCACACAGCTTAGCAAGCACAGTTCACCTTGTGAAGATGCTGTGTGTGGTAGAACAGCTAACAGTAGTGATCTGTGAAGTGGGAACTAGGTGGTTTGGAGGACTTGTGCAGGACTAAGCAAAATGCAGATCCTGGTACCCCCTGCAGGTCAGGAGTAAGTGTGGGGCCAGGAGAACCAGGGCAAGAGTCACTTTACATTTTCATAAATTATATAAATTCATGTTCTCTCTCCACCCCTGTCCCTCCCAGAACTGTGTGTACCGATGGATGTGGCTGAGAGCCCTGAACGGGACCCTCGCTCTCCAGAGGACGAAGAAGAGGAGCATCAAGGGCTCTCGGAAGATGACATTCTGAGAGAAAGTGGGTCTGATCAGGATTTGGATAAAGCTGCAGGGAAGGCTTCTGATTTGGAGGATGAGGAAAATGCTGTCCTGGGACTGAGCCAGGAGGAAGAGGAAAGTCGCTCTGATGAAGAGGATCAGGACCAGGACTCTGAGCCTCAGGAGCTGAACAGGGGCCCTACGAGCCCCCCTCATGCAGAGGAAGGAGATGGGGGGGAAGAAGACCGCACAAGTGACCTGAGGGATGAGGCCTCCTCGGTCACCAGGGAACTGGATGAGCATGAGTTAGACTATGATGAGGAGGTTCCCGAAGAGCCAGCCCCTGCTGGGCAGGAGGATGAAGCAGAAAAGGCTGGGGCAGAAGATGATGAGGAGAAGGGAGAAGGAGCTCCCGAGGAGAAGGGAAAGGTTGATGTCCACAGTGTGGAAGAAAAGGAGCCCCTGGAGGCTGCCAAGGAGAAAAAAAAAGAGGATGACGATGGAGAGATTGATGATGGGGAGATTGACGTGAGTATCCCTGGGGTGCATATGCATGTAGATAGTGCCCAGAAGGACTTCTTGCCACCAACCACACCTTGGCCTGGTGCCAGGGGGAGAGCTCTTCATAGGATTAACTTAGCCTCATTTCAGAACAAGGAGGTGGGATGGAGGAGTGCAGGAAAATGAGAGGATTGTCTGGGAGCAGTCGCCATGGTAATTAGGAAGTGCTAAATAAGAGAAGTGGTCTAGATTCAGAAAACTTCTGCCAGTTGGTAGCTGGCAGAATTTCCATAGACCCTCATTCATCTATCTGGTGCTATTATATTAGAATTCCTGGCCCAAATTTTTTAATTATTATTTATTTCAGAGAAGAAGGGAGAGGGAGAGAAATATAGAAACATCAATGATGAGAGAGTATCATTGATTGACTGCCTTCTGCACACCCCCCACTGGGGATCAAGCCCGCAACCCAGGCATATACCCTTGATCAGAATCGAACCCATGACCCTTCATTCCATTAGCTGACACTCTATCCACTGAGCCAAATCAACCAGGGCAGTTTTGGATTTTTTTTTTTTTTTTTTTTTTTGACAAGTGGATAGATAATTTCTCCTTTTATCTTTGCTATCTTTAAATCCTAGTTGAGTTGAATTCTACCAGAACCATCATGAATCTGCAGTCCTAATCAGGTTCTTGAGGGTCAGAGCAAATAATCAGAGTTTTTAAAGTTCCCCAGAGAAGAAATTCTTATT